ATGACTACCATCACTAAACACTTCAGATTGTCTTTGAGAGTCAGTTGGGGGAAGAGAGCCAATTTGGGACATGGAAAATGGAATAATCTCTTCCATGACTCCTAAACAAGGAATGCAGCCCAGGATACTTCTAGCATTACAACAAAATACAGAAAACTCACTTTGGAAACTCAGTCCCTAGAAGCAGAAATTTCAGTTTTGATGGAACAGTTTAAGAAATCATTAATAGCATGTGCTGAAACCACAAAACAACATGCTTGAATGGTTTCCTCACCCTTGAGAACAATGTCATATTCTATGAATTTTAATGTCTCTGGCACCCTCTTTTGGAAATTGAAGGGTTCTCATGATGAGTCTTGTCTGATGGAAAGATGCCACCACCTGTCCACTCATCCCTGGAGACTCACAGGACAATTCACAATTAACTCCACTCCCAGGAGCAAATTTCAACATTAACACATCATGAGTTGTTAACCATGGTTTGTAATGGCCTTTGGCTAAATACAAATAAATTTCTATTTCCATAGCATGAGTTGCATTCTTCTCTTTGTAAACTTCATTGCATTGGCTCAAAGCCTTAGCAAATAACACCAAAATGCCAAAAACAACATCAAAACGAGTTGCATATTGTCCCCCCTCCCCACTTCTATAGTAATCCATACAGTTGTATTTCCTGTTTCCCTCCGTGAGCAGATCAATAGACTCCAGAGGACCTTGGGAGTTACCAGATTTCACTGCAGGTGAAGCAAATGAAAGAAAACTACCCCATCCAGAGCTGCCCAGGAAAAAAGAGAGGTCCCACCAAAGTATAACATTTACAGCTGTAGTGAAGTCTACTGATGCTGCTCCTGGTCTTTTTGTGATATGTCATGATATTCCACTGGAATCTTGGCTCCTTTACATCCATCCATGCATGTTCATCTTTCTGTGACTACAACGTCTCATGTTGACTTCCACATACGAAAACATTCGAATAGGTAAGACAATTATTCCAAAAATGTTTGAAACATGCTGATTGGAAAACATCTGGCTGCTGATGGCCTTAATTCTATTGAACCCCATGCACACAAATGCACACCAAAGTTATTTTCAGTGCTTTTACAGACTCTTCAGACTTTGGACTAAAATCAATACACTGTTTTGTCCCTTGAAAAAAAGTGAATCCCTAAAACAACCTTCAGTATTTTATGATATACAAATGCTGGTGATCTACATCACCCTAAATATTTCATGATCCTTCTGACTTCTAAAAAATACAAATAATCCTGTTCTCTTCCTTTGAGAATTGACTGTCTTGCTGTTTCTTAAAATAAACCTTTCTGCAACATTGGGTTTTTTTGGTATTTGTTTTGGTAATTTCCATGAAAAAGACCAAGTTGTTTGGGAACTGCTCCTTTGAGGAAACCTTTGAGATATCAAGAAACTGGTTTCAAGTGAAGAGTATCATTTCCATGTACCAAATTGTTGTCTAATGACATGACTACCACCACTAAACACTTCAGACTGTCTTTGAGAGTCAGTTTGGTGTAGTGGTTAAAAGTGGCAGGACTCTAATTTGGAGAACTGGGTTTGTTTCCTCACTCCTCCACATGAAGCCAGCTGGGTGACGATGGGTCAGCTCTCTCAGAGCTTTCTCAGTCCCACATACCTCACAAGGTGTCTACTGCAGAGAGAGTAAAGGAAGGTGACTGTAAGCCACCAAGACTCCTTCAGGTGTTCGTTGTGGGGAGAGAAAGGGAAGGTGATTGTAAACCACTTCAAGACTCCTTCCGGTAGTGAAGGGTGGGGTATAAAGCCAACTCTTCTTCTTCTTCTTCTTCTTCTTCTTCTTCTTCTTCTTCTTCTTCTTCTTCTTCTTCTTCTCCTCCTCCTCTTCCTTCTTCCTCTTCTTCCAGTGTTTCTTGCATTCATGGAATTATATCCCTCAACAGATGGTCAAATGTTTCCTGAAGAATACATATGGATCAAAAGAGAGTTTGACATTGTTTTCATAAGTTTATTGGAAAATAAGGATCCCAACCTATGTTCTGCTTCATTTGTTCTAATGCTAGTTGAATTCTCCCCATAAGGGACTGCTATAACAGAGCAAACCAGAAATTCTTTAAATCTTCCAATGTAAGGAAGCAATAAGATTTTTCTGCCTGGTGGTGAGCATAGAGGGAGAATCTTACTAGCACATTGAATTCTTTACAACATGCTCTGGAGCATTTCACTCTCTTCCTTAAAGAAGACTGCAATAAAATAAAAATGTTGAAGGTTAACTAGGATGTATCCATGAAAAGCGGCATTAGAGAAATGTTTATACTAATGTATTTACTTCCCCTCCCCCCTCAATCTATTTGCTTGGATGGAGATGTGAAACCCACAATATCCTTCTTGCCAAATTGTAAGTCAATAGGTAAAATCATTCCCATTCTATCAACAATCTGAATTTCTCTTTTGCAGTCCATGCACAGGAAAATATCACAAACTTGATATGCATGGTTGCCAACTCTGGGTTGGAAAATTACTGGAGGTTCAGGGGTGGAGGTGGCAGAGGACAGGCAGGGCTTGGGGAAGAGAGTGACATCAGCTGGGTATAGTGCCATAGGTTCCACCCTTTGAAGCAGCCATTTTTTCTCCAGAGGAACTAATCTCTATAGTCTTTAGATCAGTTGAAATTCTGGGAAATCTCCAGGCTCCAGCTGGAGGTTGGAAACCTTTTTTGCTGGCAAGTCACAGCTGGTTTAGGGAGACCCCATAGGGTTTTCAAGGCAAGAGATGATAAGAGGTAGTGTGCCATTGCCTGCCTACACACTGCAATGCTGGTATTCCTTGGAGGTCTCCCACCCAACCCTACTGATATGTAGTTTTTTCTTCTTCAAGGGATTGAAAAAAGCAAACCTGTAAGGATCAAACTGTAAAAGGCTATGACTGTATCTCCCATATGCAATTCAGCCCCCCCCCCCCAGTCAGCCACATGTGGGCTCAAGATAGGTGCTGCGGTGCTGGTGTGGTACCCAAAGGTACCCTGTTGGGTACCCAAAGGTGGGGTGAGAGAAAATTATAAGAAATGGATTAAACAATATCTATTGCAAAGTGCACTAAAACTCTACTTTAAGAACATAGACACATTTCACCTGTAAAGCAGAAAATATTTGGATTAAAAAGTCCCGAATCTCTGTAACGTGATTCAATTAAATAACTCTAGGTTAATAACCTTGAACCCATAAAACAAGACATACAATTCAATTTCTCTAGGCTGGTAACCTTGAACCACATTAAAACAGGACCAAATGTGTTTTGGCCTTCAAGGCCTTACTCAGTGGACAAATAATTGTATACATGCACACTATGACATATAAACATGTGTTAATGCCAGGGCGGGTTAATTACAAGGTATTCTAAACATTTATTTATGCATTTATTTATCAAATTTCTATTCCGCCCTCCCCACTAACAGGCTCAGGACAGATCACCACAGATATTTAGGCCATACGGTATCACAGAAAACACAACAGTAAATACTTAATTAAAACACATTAAAGCAAACAAAAATTAAATACAGATTGCACCATTTGTTGCACAGTCACCAATACTGATGCCACTGGACTCAACGTTTGTTTAATTTGGGCTGTGCGGGAGTGGAGTCTTCAGGAGCGGACAATGACTTTTTTACTGGACGCCCATTGCCTCAGCCAA